TCTCCTCACAGAGTGAACCAGGCACATCAAGAAAATTGACCAAATGATCATGCATCACAAGAAAATTTGTCTTAGTTCTTAAAAATGACCAATCAGTATCTATTAGAACGATATGGAGACAAGATAAGAGAATTTCTGCGCTGATATTATTTATGGTTTAAATTGATATGCTGTATACTGATTTGTTTCTTTCTGATTAATTTTCTAAGTTGTTAATTACAACTTTTGGTCGCTTTTCTAAACAATTTTAAAATTCTTGAGACTTTGTCTAGGAGAAACTGTACTTCACACATCTAAGTAAAGGGTGAAACAAAAAAAAACACTGCTCAAGGGAATCTTATGCTGGAACATTCAACCCTAACTCAAATGGAACAAACAAGTGCAAGAGTAATATTCACCATTCAATGGATTCAAATCAGCCACATGGAATGGGTTTCATGATTAACTGGTTCATTAAATGGAGTCAGATCTTTGCTGCAGCATGCAGTTCTCTCAATAATATGCATCCAAAATGTAAAATTGGTCATGATTGAGATGGTGGCTGGTCAATGTAAAGTGTGTTATCATCTGTCCCACAGTGTATTCCCATAGGATGCAGATGGTGGTGTTTGACAACTTCCTGCTAGCCCTCATTGCCAGGTGAAGATTATGAAGACCAGCAGTAAGCAGTCAAAACATTGCAATCTACATCCTAAGGGACTACATCATGAAACAAACAACTTCCCAAATAATTTATTTCATATTAAAATAATTTCTAAAGCATACCGGAGTGAAAACTACATACAGTAACAGAGATCTCCGAGTCCAATCAATGACCTAGTTAATCACATGCAGTAGTATACAGCTAGGGTGGTTTGCTCAAAAAAGGCACTTGTTTGAACAATGGTGGCACACACATCTACATATAATAATAACATTATCTGACTCAGTGCTGATCCTTGCATTGTTATGCAGCTTGTGCAGTTTCTGTAGTTTTGGTGATCGTGGTACATGGCAGCAGTCAGTAGTAGTCTGCAGTATCAATGACAGTCTCTTCATTTTACAATGAAGTCCTAGAGTCATGCAGGTGCAGTTTTTAGGTTCGTTGAGGTCCTGATAATTAAGTCAGTTGTCACATGTAAGTAGTTGCTGGTCTCAATCTATCTACAGTATTATGTTCATCAAGTAAATGTGTTTGTTCTGTCTGAAGTTAATAAAAGTTTGTTTGACAGTTTGTGGAGGTTGTAAATAGGTCATCTTTTTTTGTGTGAATAAGTCATCTTCAAGATGTAAGTAATTGTTGGCTTCAGATGTCAGTGTCAATCCATCTGCTGTTAGATGGAAGGTCAATGTCAATTTTATGTTGGTTCTGTTTGAAGTTAAAGTTTGTTGTTTGGTTTGTTGAGGTCTTCAATAAGTCATCTGTAAGGTGTAAAGTTGTCTGTGTTAGATGTTTTCTAGTTTCACCCTATCTGTTGTTAGTCAAGTTTGTGTTGGTTCTGTTTGAAGTGTAAGTTTGTTGTGTGGTTTGTTGAGGTCTTCAATAAGTCATCTGTAAGTCTCACTCCGTCTGTTGTTAGTCAAGTTTGTGATGGTTCTGTCAAAAACTAAAGTTTGGTTAGTCATCTGTAGTGTGTAAAGTTACAGGTCAGATGTTTTGTAGTCTCAATCCATCTGTTGTTAGTCAAGTTTGTGTTGGTTCTGTTTAACATTAAAGTTTGTTGGTTGGTTTGCTCAGGTCTCCAATAAGTTATCTGTAAGGTGTAAAGTTGTCAGTGTTAGATGTTGTGTTGTCTCAATCCATCTGTTGTTAGTCAAGTTTGTGTTGGTTCTGTTTGAAGTTAAAGTTTGTTGAGGTCACGAAAAAGCAACTTGTTGGGTGAAAGAAAAGTAGTTGTTGGTATCGGTTGAGAGTTACTTGTTCTTGTGAGTTTGTGATGTCTGAGTTCATCAGATTGACTTGCTCCAACCAATGCAAGCAGTTTGCCAAGAGTCTATTATGAAAATCTAGTTTAAGACTATGTTTGTATCAAGCTAAACAAATAACCAACTAACCTGAACGGGGGTTGTGGAACAACAGCTGGGTGAAAAACCTCCCTGTACGTCCACTTGCCCCTAGGAGGAAAACCCCGGGCCAGCTGTACCCCACATTCAAAGGCCTCCCGGGCTGGGCCAAAATAGGAAATACTCAATTAAATAGACAAACTACTTTAGTTAATAAACCATCTTGTTGTCTTGTCTTGGTAGCCAATCTTTAAGCATCCTCCTTTGTGTCTGGCCTGTTGCCCATTTTCTTGTCTTTCCAAGTCCATGCCGTCTGGTGATGATCTCTGCTGTCTAGCATCCTGTGACGAAACAAGCAAAAGGATAAGTTATGGTGGAATCCCATGTTAAGCATTAATTACCAAAAAAAGATAAATATTTTTACCAGTTGTTTGGATTGTCATGTTGTTTAACAACAACATTGTAATTACAAGTCATTTATTATAAAATAAAAATTACTTATTAATAATTTAATTTCATCCACTAATTACCTGTACCTAGTTTTAATGACTGCCTACTGGTAAGACTGTGCATTGCTTAGTTCAACTTATAACTCATTTGTAGACCTTGCTAACCCATGCTACACAAACTCTATCCTGTTTTGGACTCTTGCAAAGCTGTTTGTTTTAAGGGCTCATTATATTGTCTAATCATTAGCCTCCAATGTAGGCATATTATAGCAGAGCCCTGGCGTGAGTGGAGCCCCATAAATGTACATGTACCTGCCACGACTAACTATAGCATGTGATTACTAAACTACATCTGAGTGGGTTTTTAAAGCAATAACACTGATAAGAAATGAACAAAAGTATATTAATTTAGAGACATGCGCTGAACCATGAAACCCTCCCTTTAAAGGCAGTAAAAAGATAAGTCTAGCTAGCCCATATAAAGACTGCAAAGTTCAATATAATTCTAAAATTTACATGCAAATTGATGTAAAATATATACAAATGAGATTTCAGGTGTTTAAATTTAAGAGACCTAAAAATTTACAAAGTCTTGAGTTCCCAAAATTAAATCCCGAGCAAAGAAGTAAATTAAATCCTTAAAAAGATTTCCCTATCCTTTGCCATCTTTCAACCAGCGTTTGGCAAGGTTTGACAGCAGTGTAATGCAATGGGGCAAAATGACATCATCAATATCTACACTAGTGAGGATATGGAAAATACAGTGCGCCACTACAGTCTCGGATGTAAATTTATAATGAATTTTACGAGGGGTGTATTCTCCAGTAAAACATTCATGTCTATATAATAAATGTTGTTCTTAATTTTCAGAGCTCCACTTGAATGGAAAGCGTTGAATTCTTGTTAGTGTTTTTACTCAGTTGGTAGTATAACATGATTGTATTTAAGAGTCAGTAGTAAGGTTTTCCAAAGTAATGAGCTATGAGTATTTGACCAGGCTGACATTACTTTGCCTGAAATTTGATCAGGATAACTGGCAAAAAGAGTTACAAGCAATTACCTCAGGCTGGTGAAGGTCTGAATGTTTTCGGTTTGTCCACTGTCTTTCCAGCCTTCTCCACTGTCCATCCATTGTTGACTGTGTAATAAAACATTCAGAAAAGATTCTTGATTATGACCTGACACATGATCCACAGTAACTGTGTACATTTACAGATGTCGAACGAACTTAACTTATTTAAGAGTTGATTGATCAATTCAGGGCTCGAAAAAAGTGCTGTTAGGTCGTCAGGACAAGTAGTTTCTCCTTCTGGGTAAGTAACTTTTCACTCTCACTTGCCTAATGGTGAAGGAATCAGGCAAGTTGTGCACCAACTTAATCATTAAAAGAGTAAACTGAGACTTGTCCAGGGCAAGCAAAATTTGAGAGCTGCTTGTCCCAAGGGCAAGCTGGAATTCAAGTTTTTTTCGAGCCCTGATCATTCTTTGGATCAAAGCCCCTCTTAAAACGTTTGTGGGTAAATTTGTCAAAATGCTTCTCTACACACAGTCTATTTAGATGCCACGGATCTCTTAGCCTGCATAGCAGGTATAAAATGGGAGGAGGGAGTGAAGAGATGGGGTGGGGGAAAAAGACAGGAAGTGAGAGGAGAAGGGGTGGGGGGGAGAGGAGGAAGCGGTTGGAGACACTGTTCTGAGGAGTCCGGCCTTAAACCTTAAGAACTTTCTTTTGTTCTCTTCTGCAGCTACTGGTGGCCACAGAATTCTAAGTTGTGACCGTGCACAGGAAAACATACCTTAACGCTTATCCGTTAGACAGGCAAAAACGTTAAGCATCAGTTAGTCATCCGTGAGAAAGTTTTCTTAAAAATGTTAGAGGTGTTAGCCCAACCATTAGATGTTAGCATCAGGCTGTTAGAACAGAGAGTGCCACTGTTAGCAAGAGACACGTATCCATTAGCTGTTAGCATCAGACTGTTAGACAGGACAGCATAACCGTTAGCAAAAACTCTGTATCCATTAGCAAGGGTAGAGAAGCCATTAGGATCCGTTAGAATAAACTAGCATCCGTTAAATGGGTAACGATTCCGTTAGAATGGCATGACACGCATTGAAGTAGAATGTGGTAGCCTAACACAGTGTGAAACAACTATAACTGTTATACATGATCCAAAACAAAACATATTTGCTGCTTTTGAAAACAGAAATGACATGTAAAATCATAACAATGATCATCATTATATGAACTGGTTTATTTATTCGGCAAAGTCCGGTTGTTTTGAGAGCTTGTAATTTGTTACTGTAATTTGTGACCAAACTAAAGTTAAAAATACCTTACAAGTGCCATAAATGGACGAAACAAACATGGAGAAAATTCAACCAAAATGGCCATGCGATGAATAAAGATGTTCTGCAAAGTAAACACTGATCACATGTCAAGAACTTGTGCTCCTGTGTCAATTCACAAAGTGCGGGTTCAAAAATTTGCATAAAGTTGTTTACATCTTCCAAGATGTGAGAAATGGCCATATTCCAGTGGAAAGTACGAAGAATATTTTGATAGACTGTTGTCCGACTCTGAATCAGAAGAAACCAATTTCAAACTACATGTATGTAACAAAAACAACTTTATCTAATGAAACCAGTGCCAACAAATTAACAAATTGACGTCAGTTTTTTGTGCGTCCATCCTCTTATTGATGATAAATTGCATCATAACATCATCAAAGTCTACTGTGGAACCACTTTGACAATGTTGTGACGCAATTTATCATCAATAAGAGGACAGACGTATAAAAAACTGACGCCAATTTGTTTTTTTACAATAACAAGACCCCAAAATGGTCAAATGCCAGGAATAAATGAGGAGAAAGGACACTGTAAACTTGCCATAAACAAAGATAAGTGAATTTTATTCAAAATGACATGAGCATTGTCAATAGCTTTTCTTGCTTTTTGATTGGCTACTTGAAAAAGTCCATAAAACCTGATTGGTTAAAAAGTTGACAGTTTGACAGCTGAAAGTTGAACTTGAAAGCTTGAATAAATTAAAATTTTATCTGTCTGTACTCTTATTGATAACAAAAATGACCCAATCAGTGCGCGAGAAATTAGACAGTTATTGTAAAAACGCCCGTCACTTCGAGACTAACTTCGTGACTTCACAAGGTACCACTTTTCGCATGCTCTGTCAAGAAAGTGTAATCTTTTGCAAATCCACAGCTGGATAAAACAGTTACTTTTAAAAAACTCTCGACAAAGTCATTGTGTAAAAATAAGTACAAGCGACAATTCCATTTGAGTAAAACAATACAAAATGTTCACCCCGACTGGCGAGTTAAATTGTTTACACGCGGGTTTAGCAATGTTCGGTTCGCGTCCCACATGATGGGCTCGAATTCTAAGTTTGTCTGTCTCGATGAGGAAGTGATAGTTTATATCACTGAGTTTTGCTTTCAATGTGCACCGTGGAAGTATTTTTTTTAATGTTTGCCTAATCGACAACTGATGAAATTGGCACTTTGTGATTCACTTTTTTAAAAATCATGAGTGTAAGACTAATGATGGTTTGGCAGGATTATGTGCCTATAAGATCGGACTGAAACCTACGCTATTTGTTCATTAAAAGACCTTAGATGAAAACCGTTAGACAACCCTTAAACGTCCTTAGATGTAAACCATTAGACAATGGTTAAACGTCCTTAGATGTAGACCGTTAGACAACCGTTACAGGGCTCCAGTCATCTGTTAGAACAAATTGTGCAACCGTTAGAACGTTTTCCTCATCCGTTAGGCATACTTAGTTAGCCATCAGAACATTAAGAGAAAGCATTAGAACACTTTGATCAAATTGGCAGCAGACAAAGACTTAATAGCAACTTTGGGCTTTGAGAGAGTTACATGTAAAGCTCACCAGCAATGATGAGCGAATTTATGCAAGAATCAGGCATGATGGTTCTTTCAGTTGGAAAAGATAAACATTCTGGCAGTTTTGCCCACAGGATACGGCTTAAGTCTAATTTGTCAGTTGCTTGTCTGTGCCAAGAACAGCAATGTGTTGATTCTCATTATTTCACCTTAATGAAAAGTCTCTTAAGAGGACAAGCTGAAGGAGAAATAATCAATTGGCTATCCTGCTGATTATTTGGCTATCCTGCAAATTATTTGTTGGCCAGGGTGATATTCACCAATGTGAATTTAAAACTCTGGTTCTTTTCCACACCCTTGCAGTTCATAGTCACAGCAGTTCTGGCATTGCTTGGAGTTACCGCAGGATGACTCTGCAGTCATTTGCAGTATTKACCTGGTCTGAGTCAAGGTAACWGGTTTGGTTTCTTCCAGTTGCACCTGTTGCCATGCATCAGTCCATTGTTTTTCTTTTTTGGTCTGTCTCTTTGCCACTTCAGTCTTTAGTAATCTTCCTTCTTTCCTTATCTTCTCTACGTAATGTCTTGTTAATCTGGTACATACATGTACTGTACATCAATCCAGCTCTTCCTCAAGTAGCCTGACAAAAAAGAAAATAGTACACATTAATGTAACATTTAAGTCAGACAATTACTGTTAAAAATAGTACTGTCCTCTCATGTTCAGTCATGATTTCACAACAACAAGCAATCGCCTTAATGATTCCATAAAATATCCAAAACTTTAATTTGAAACCCCTCACTCTATCTGTGACAGTAAGGGAGAAGGGTTAAAACTGGTAAACCTCCCAGTGCTTCAATTTGGAGATCTGAATTCAGAGGAGATAATCAAATCTCTTAGCCACTTCATCATTTTTAGATCCAAATCAAAATGTTATTTTATTTTAAAACAGTCGGAAGTGATTCACTCTAAACTTTTAAATTGAAGGCTTTTGTGCAAAAAGGGCGTATATAGCATTTTGGGCCGATTTTTAGTTTTTGCAGGATCAAGCTAATTTTTGGCAGACTGACTTGTTTTGACATGAAAAGCATCATTGCGTAATTGTTTCTGTTGATTTGCACTTTGTTTTCAAAAAAATAACGTATGCAAAAGACTTAGTTTTCCAAGGGTATCTCTTTTCTTCTCTACTTTTTTCAAAAATCAAAACATCTATTTTAAAAAAACCATGCTGTCGAAGCTGCTAAAAGTAACCATTTAAGTTTGCGTCGCATCAAAATCCACCTTCGAAGGATTTGCTCCAAAAGATGCTGCTTGGAAAACTGAGGTTTTTTGCATATGTAATTTCTCAAAAACAAAGGGCAAATCAACAAAAACAATTATGCAATGATGCTCTTCATGTCAAAACAAGTCAGTCGGCCAAAAAAGAGCTCAACCCTGCAAAAAAGTAAAAATCGACCCAAAATGCTATTTTCGCCCTTTTTGCACGCAAGCCTTCAATTATCTGGGGTGAGTAAACCACAAGTGGTATAAGCAAGGCCCTGTTTGGGGGGGGGGGGGGGGG